CAAGTAGTCTGTACTGGAACACTCAAGGATATGCCGGTATTCTATCAGTCGAATGGTATCTAATAACTTGGGACTTTGAGGCATATATGACAGATAGCTACCAGTACGAACTACGAGGCATCGATACGGAACCAGACTCCGGGATGATCTCGGGGTTCGCCTTGTCCATGAATGCATACCTACACGTATTTAGGGTCCATAAAATTCCAAAGAAGAAAGTCCACATACCTGATTAGTTTGTGATTAGCACAGTTCCAGGCACGCCCGAAGGCGTTGGGATTGCGAGCGGCTGGCCTGGGCCACCAACGTTTCGATCCAGCTATATTGTCATCATGATCATCACCATCCTCCTCAGTTAGATCCCCAGGTAGAAACTCTGGCCGAGGTAGGAAATCATAATCCCCATCAAAGCCACGATGTTGCTAGGAAGATAAATCATCACGAATGCTTATGTAATTTGCTTATGTGCGAGCCGACCTTCTCTTGTTGACAGCTCGTTCCCAGCCGCTATTCAATCAGTCGAAACGTACGCCTCTTTTTGGAAAAATCTCGCATTCCTCGGTTTTCATTTGTTTTGTGGGGGCGGTCATGGTGACGAACGCATCCACCTGTTGCCGTCTGCCTTGACCACAAGACGCACGATACTCGTCCATGAAAATGGCCACTTGAGACCACTCTTATACGAGTCCTTATCTCTGAAACGCTTACGGGTGTCAACCTCAACATACAAGACATTGCTCATGGACAAATGGCGAAATGGGTGAGGAATAAGGAAATGGCGAAAGTAGGATTACGACTCATGCTCTCAGCAGGATTGCGGGACGAGATCTATATTTCAGCATTTAATTGGCTACACCTGTTCAAAAAATAGCTGCCATCTACAGGCTAGCTTCCATACGTATAAAAGGTTACCAATGGGAATCCGAGAGGCGCTGCCATACAGCTCCAGATTTGGGGACGATTTCAGGATTTGCTTGGTCCTTGAATGCATATCTAGACATTATTAGTCATGATTACTTTTCTCCGGTGTTACCTACTTTACTAGTGCATGGTGAGTACAGTTCCAAGCACGCCCAAAAACGTTGGGCTCGCGAGCAGCGTCAGTTGGCCACCAGCGCTTTGATCCTGGATTCGCATCGTCATCGTCATCATCACTAACGTATTCCTCTTCGAAATGTCCAGGTGGGAACTCTGAACGACGCCGGAGATTATATCCTGTCTGATAACCGCGATGCTACAATGTCGCTCCAAATCAGAAAAAATAGGGATGCGCAAATTGGAATACAAACCAAATGTCGGCACCAAGTACTTGCATATAAGGTCATGTGCTCGGCATGCCACACAATATCTTGGACCGAATTGTTGCCTGTCGGGGACATCAGTTTCTACGTGGTAGCCAGGCAATTATGCGACGCACCGACTGCAAGCTCGTAGAGGCATGCTCGGATTCGTGGGCACCAAGCATAGATGCCTTCCCCATCTAGAATAAGGTCAGCCCACCAGCCTACCTTTGAAGAGAGATGACACACCTTCACCACCAGAAAAGATAGTCGGCACACCGTCAATCATGGCATATGCGACACCATTGACAGAACCCCTGTGGCCCGAGAATGTCATGACGGGGAGCTCAAAGGTGGGTCAATAAGCACGTCATGCACAATGGTTGCTACCTTTGTACTTACAGGTTGACGTACGTCCCAGAGACGAACATGCCCATCTTGCCCTGCGGTAACAAAGGAGTTGGGATCGTCGGCATGGGTTGCAGGTTTTCCCGTAACCTGGTCCGCGTGACCAATGAACCGCTGAACGATTCTACCGTTGTTCAAATCCAAAGATCGAAACAGGCACCCATTTTTGTCGCCCACGAGAAGCTGAGCTGAAGAGGAGGGATGCTTGGTCCAGTCGGAAGGAGTCATCCCGCCTTCAATCTTTAAAATGGAGGTAAACGTCTGACCTTGGGACCTCTCGGTCTCGGGAAAGTACTCCTCGTCTTCCTCATCGAGCTCGAGGTGCCTGCCAACTAGACCACCATTAGCATGTCTTTTCAGCTGACTACGTTCCCAAACGTAGATCTCCCCAAGACCCGCGCGAAGAACGCGATCGTTCACAATTGCAAGAGGGCCTCCTGCTCC